AGCTGACCTTTCCTGCTGGGCTAGGCTTTACTTCCCAAACTCCTCCCAGCGGTGACTTTCTTGCATCCTGATTAGGAATCCATCTAGTCCTGCACTTGCCCTTGGAATCCCAAGGCAAGTTTAAACGTAGATTAAGCTTCTTTGCTCTTTTGATTTTCTTTTTTTTCCTTTCTTTCTTGTGTTGGTTCTGTTGTATTTCTTTCTTGTATCTGTTCTCACACTGCTATAAACAAATACCAGAGACTGGGTAATGTATAAAGGAAAAAGGTTTAATGGACTCACAGTTCCGCATGGCTGGGGAGGCCTCAGAAAACGTACAATCATGGTGGAAGGTAAAGGGGGAGCAAGGTTGGACATTCTCACCCGGCAGCACGAGACAGTAGTGAGAGGTGCGAAGGGGGAAGAACCCCTCATAAAACCGTCAGGTCTCGTGAGAATTCACTCACTATCATGAGAACTGCATGGGAGAAATCGTCCCTATGATCCAATCATCTCCCATCAGATCTCTCCCTAGACATGTGGGGTTTGTAAGGATTACAATTCAAGACGAGATTTGAGTAGGGACAAACAATATCATTTCTCTTCCTTCCTCCCTCCCTCTCTCCCTCTCTCCTTCCCTCTCTCCCTCTTTCTCTCTTTCTCCCTCTCTTTCTTTCTTTCTCTCTCTCTCTCTCTCTCTCTCTCTCTCTCTCTCTCTCTCTCGACAAGGTCTCACTGTATTTCCTGGGGTGGAGTGCAGTGGCAGGGCCTCAGCTCACTGCAGCCTCAACCTCCCAGGTTCAAGTTATCCTTCAGCCTTAGCCTCCCAAATAGCTGAGGCCACAGGTGCATACCACCATACCTAGCTAATTTTATTTTTTCATAGAGGCGGAGTCTCCGTATGTTACCTAGGCTGGTCTTGAACTGCTGGGCTCAAGTGATCCTCCAGCCCTGGCCTCCCAAAGTGCTGGGATTACGAGTGTGAGCCACCACGCCTGACCCCATTTGAGTTTCTTAGAGTAATCTGAGTCCCTGTCATTCTCTTTCCCTACCACCTTAACCTCTCCTTGAACAGGTGTCTTTAGTGGGCACTGGCAGGGTCCACCGGGTTGGTCCTGGTGCTCATGTTTCTAAGGTGACAGTGTGCTCCAGGCCCTGTTTCTTCTCTCCGAGTCTGACTGCTCCTGAGCCCCTTGCATTCCAGTTGCTGCCCAGTTACTACGGCAGGCCTTTCATCTTTTTTAAGCCGCTCTCCACCTTTCTCTCTTGACTCATATTCTGGATCTCCCCAAGAAAGTCCTAATCCCTGGGTGGGACTCCATGTCATCAGTGATGAATATTCTGGAAATGGATCAAGCCAAACTGCATGGGATGATTGAAGGAACAAAGGAGAAAGCCAAAGGGGGAAGGATGGTGCCTCCCCCAGCGGTGTGCCAGGCCCCATCTTCCCCTCAGCCCCCTTCTCCTCCGGGAAGACCAGCCCAACCCAGCAGGCTTCTCAAATGGGGATGGACGCGTAACACTCCCTCATCATCTTCCAGAATCTAGCTAGGAGCAAGAAGCCACTAAACCCTCCCATTGTAGATATGGGGGAACTGAGGCTCAGAGGAGACGTTTACTTTGTCGAAGTTCATAAAACTAGTATATGACACTTGGATCTCCTAACTTCCAATCCGTTTGGTTCTTAGCGGTAGTATTTTTCCATGTTTGAAAAGGTCATGAGTCATGTCTTAGGAAAGCCTCTGGTGATATTTTGAATAGTTTAGAGTGCCAGATTCTGAACTCAGTTGAGATGAATGAAACACAGCTAATCTTGCTCTAAGGAAATTTGCATTCCTGCAGGAATGGAGATGTTAGTCAGCCTACTAAAAAAATGTTTTATGTAGCACCAACTCTGGAAAGATGTAGATGAGGACCTGCAAAAAAATGCAAAACGAAGGGAAAAAGGGTCTCATTTTACACTTAGGATGTAGCAGGAGAGAGAAGATATGTACAACGGAAGCTTTCACTAGCAATTAAAAGGCAGAACACAACGCTGAACGTGGGTTACGGGGATTAACCGCCAGGAGGGGTTGAGAAGACTAGGATGTATCAACACTCTCTACGTTCTGGTGTCCTTGTCCCAGAGAACCATTCCCACAGGCCGATAATGAGACATGTGTGACATGCCCATTGCAGCCCTGTTTGCAGTGCCTGGCAGTTGGGAGCAACTTAGGAATGGATAGTACACGTGGTGTGTGTATATGATGAAATACTATGCTATAAAAAGTCCACATGGCAACACGCACAGGTCTTAACTACCACTGAGTGAACAAGAAATAAAATAAAAGTTGTTGTTGTTTTTGAGATGGAGGCTCGCTCTGCTGCTTGGACTGGCGTGCAATGAAGCAATCTCAGCTCACTGCAACCTTTGCCTCCTGGGTTCAAGTGGTTCTTCCACCTCAATCTCCCGAGTAGCTGGGATTACAGGTATTCACCATCATACCCTGCTAATTTTTGTGTTTTTAGTAGTGTGTTTGTATTTTCACTATTTTTGTGTTTTTAAGTTTTGCCATGTTGGCCAGGCTGGTCTCGAACTCCTGGCCTCAGGTGATCCGCCTGCCTCAGCCTCCCAAAGTGCTGGGATTACAGGCGAGAGCCACTGCACCTGGCCAGAAATGGAATAAGATTTATAGCACAAAATCAATTATGTAAATTAAGAATACATACACATATCCATGAAATACTATTATGAATCTTTTCCAGGAATACGCATATATCTCTGTAGGCATATGGAAGACAAACTGGAAGCATATACACTGATGTACTGAAGTGAGTGTCTATGGTGAATGGTTAACCGGAGCAAGGGCAGAAAATGAGAGGAAAAATAAGAGAATAAAACACAGGCCTCACGCAGACCAGTGACTTAATGAATATGATTAGCTCTGCACATCCAAGGGGCAGAAATAAAGTTATTTAAGAGAAGTGTCAGGTGCAGTGGCTCACACCTGTAATTCCAGCACTTTGGGAGGCCGAAGGGGGCAGATGACCTGAGGTCAGGAGTTCGCAACCAGCCTGACCAACATGGTGAAACCCCGTCTCTACTAAAAACACAAAAAATTAGCTGGGTATAGTGGCAGGCACCTGTAATCCCAGCTACCTGGGAAGCTGAGGCAGGAGAATCACTTGAACCTGGGAGGCGGAGGTTGCGGTGAGCCGAGATTGGCAAGATTGCACCATTGCACTCCAGCCTGGGCAACAAGATTGAAATTTTGTCTCAAAAAAAAAAAAAAAAAAAAAAAACAGAGAGAAGTAAAGGGACCTTCCCTTTGGGAAGAGGTTTGGGACAGGAACCTCCATGAAGAAGATGGATCCTGACCCAGTTAACCACCACCTGGTCTTTCCCTGTCAAACCCATGTCTCCACGTCTGTCAGTTTCCAGTGACTCAGCCAGACTCTTTTTTCCCACCACACAGGCGCCCAGTATCAGTCACTGGGAGCCCCCGCTTCCTTATCAGCCAGCTTACCCAGTGCCCCAGTGCAGTGGTTCCTGCTCCCTACCTGTAGAGCTTCCCCTTTCACCTCACAAGTTCTTCAGCTCCGCCCTGAACCGAAGAGAAAAGAAAGCTGCAGGGCAAGGCATTTGCAAATATTTACTAACTTTGAAGTGGGATAAATCTGAATTCAAAACCAGGCTCCAGCTACTTGTTCTGTGATCTTAAGCAAATTCTCTGAGCTTCATTTCCTCAATCCAGAAAATAAATCATGGCCCAGTGAGATGGCTCACGCCTGTAAGCCCAACGCTTTGAGAGGCCAAGGCGGGAGGATCGCTTGAACCCAGGAGTTTGAGACCAGCCTGGGAAACATAATGAAACCACCATCTCTACAAAAAATTTAAAAATTAGCTGGGCATGGCGGCACCTGTGATCTCAGCTACACTGGAAGCTGAGGTGGGAGGATCACTTGAGCCCAGGAGGTCAAGGCTTCAGTGAGCAGTGATAGCAGCACTGCACTCCAGCCTGGGTGACAGAGCCAGTCCCTGTCTCAAAAAAAAAAAAAAAGAAGGAATAAAAAATGAAAAAAAAAGTAAAGAGATAAAGTAGTAATAATTGCATAAGAAAATGTAAAACATATAAACATATATTCATATATGTATAATTTTCTTTACCAGTGATGTGGTAAGGATTAAATTAGGTAATATATAAAAAATCATAGTGCACCTGGGCGTAATCTGCCCACTTCGGCCTCCCAAAGTGCTGGGATTACACCTGAGGTCAGGAGTTCGGGACCAGCCTGGCCAACATGCTGAAGTCTTATTTCCACTAAAAATACAAAAATTAGCTGGGCGTGATAGCAAGTGCCTGTAATCCCAGCTACTCAGGAGGCTGAGGCAGGAGAATGGCTTGAACCTGGGAGGAAGGGGTTGCAGTGAACTGAGAACGCACCACTGAGTTCCAGCCTGGACGACAGAGCGAGAGTATGTCTAGGAAGGAAGAAAGGAAGGAAGGAAAGAAGGAAAGAAGGAGGGAAGGAGGGAAAGAGGAGGGAGGGAGGGAGGAAAGGAAGGAAGGAAGGAGGGAAGGAAGGAAGCAGAGAGAGAGAGATTATAGTGCACAGCCTGGCATAAAACAATAGCTGTTTTTATGTATTTGAACTCCACACTGGGTGACAGAGCAAGAGTCTGGAAAGGAAGTGGGAAGGGAAGGAGGGAAGGGAAGGGGAGGGGAGTGGAAGGGAGAGGAGGGGAGGGAAGGGGAGGGGAGAGGGGGAGGGGAGGGGAGGGAAGGGAGAAAGGAAAGGAAGGAAAAGAAAGAAAGAAGGAAGGAAGGAAGGAAGGAAGAAAAGAAAGAAAGAAAGAAAGAAAGAAAGAAAGAAAGAAAGAAAGAAA